AACCTAGCCAGAAATAGTAATTTGTAGCGCTAGGTCCTTCAGGCTCAGAGTGTTACTTAATATTTTGTAGTACTCAGTACTCTAAGCCCAACAACGCCCGGTCCTGTTAGGGTTAAATCACCATTGATAGAGGGTACTATTAAATACATGTAAAATCTGATTACACCATCACATTGGCTAATAAATGTGGGTGAACCCCATAACTTACAATCCACAAATTGTTGGTTACCACATGATCTCAGCCCCTGAAGAATTTGGTGGGCAGAGTATGTGAACCAAGCCTCTGTTCTGTGAAGGGACACAAAAAGCACTACTACCGGTCACAACACACAATGGGTTCAGGAATGCTGATCCCTCCTCAATAATACACACAAACATCTCCACTTTTGCTGTGTGGATGCTAAAGGGGAAACCGTGCGGTGGGGGGGGAGGGGCACTCTGCCAAATACGGCCACTGCCCTACCATATTTGGTCGTGTGGAAATGCCGGATTGGTTTCCTTCCATTCAATGATGGCTCGAACCAGGAAATCATCCAATGCAATTATCACAGCTGGGATTCCTGGATACTTTGGGCCCTCTTGTCTGTGATTTTGACAGGTGGATTTTGGTTTCGATGGGTGGTTATATGAGACATTTATGATAGTGACGCATGTGTCACTTTATGTGCTTTGCAGGAAATGTGACGAACAAGGCAAGGTGTAGATATACCGATATGAGTGTATGTACATGAACTAAAGTTCACGGCTGAACACTCACACAGAGATACTGTAAGCGTTGCGTACATGTACATGTACATGTATAGGCATATCACATGAAGAGTGCCACATACATGTACGTACATGTACATGTACATGTACATGTGGACCAAGTGCTCTCATTTTGCCTGCGATTTGTATCTACTGTAGGCAGCAAAGGAAAAAAACCACTTCCTGGTTATTTTTCAATTGCACCTCAAAGTCATCCAAAGTGAATACCTGTCTGCAATACTTCAGTTCATTTTTTTGGAAAATCCGTGCTGGGTGGCAGTACCGGCTGGTGCTGCCCGTTGCCGCCCACCGCGGCTAGAACCCTGATGTACATGTACTATACATGGAGGTATACATGTTATACAGGATTGCACATGTACATGTACATGTGGTGTGTTCAACCATGGAGAAATAAAAGTTTTATTTCTCCATGGTTCAACTGTACATCATTACATGTACATGTACTCTCTCGTTCCTCACGGCTTTCACAAACCAGACTGTCCACTGGATCTACTACATTGTATATCATGGCATTACGGACTACTGCGGTTTACAACATGTGGCTTTGAGTGTTTACAAGTATTCTGTTTTGGAGCATTGACCTTTGTAGTTGGATTCATGAATTATGAAAACGTGATCACAGAGAAACTCATGCACGTGTACCTTTCAGATGAAGTAATTTCTCAGGGGAAGTACTTCTCTATGAACCTACGATACCAGCTGCAGCAAAATAGCCACGATTCCAAAGTTCAATGAAACACTGCATGCCTCACAAAAGCATGGACTACCGTACTCACAACACCAGTTTAACTGCTCTTTCCTCAAACTTGGACTCTTGGAGGAAGCCAACAAAAGCTGCCGACACCACAGTGCGGAACCAGTCACATCCAACACAGCTCAACCGCCAGAATAAAAGGATGTTCTCCGACCACTCCCCGAGCTCAAATCCCAAATGGAAATAACATTCCCTGTTTGAATGCTTCGTTGACCTAGGCACAGTCAGAATCAACAATGACCTTGGTCCTTTCCCTGAATGTGTACAACTGGAGCAAGGGCTCAACTGCAAACAGATGTGCATCAATGTGCAAACCTGTGGGGTGCGACTCACACCGACTACTGAAGTGAACACCGTACACCTACATGTACATGTACCTGGAGTTTTAGTAATAAAAATCCACTCAGCGAAACAGCAGACAGGCATGTGTGTTTATGCACCTGACACCTGCCCACTAATTAGTGAGATCTTTCTGGGGCTTCCAGCCTCCAAAGAGGCATTCCACGAATGTGTACACAGCATGCCAGCCAGCTGAGAAATCCTTCAAACAACAAACAAGTCCACTAATTAATTGAAAAATAAACCCGATCTCAATAAACACATTTCACATCTGCAGACATATGTGTCTACATGTACTTGAATAATTAAATTGATCTCAATAAACATGTTCTACATGTACATCTGAAGATGTGTCTACCTGAATGCTCACCATTAGTGCAAAGTACTTTGAGGCAAAAGAATTTAAGTCCACCGTCCTAGGAACAAAGGAAGAGTTCATATGCAAAAGGAGATGAATGCCAAACTTACAAAAATAGGAAAAACCATCTGCCTAATTGAAACAATGTGTTCTATTTAGGCCCTACTGAACAATTTGAGTTCTCTGTCAGTAAAACATTCAAAAGGATTGGAATGGACATCTCCATTAGTGAAAAAAGAAATTGGCGGCGTGGTTTCTCAAAAGGTAGTACAGGGATTTATCTGTACCTGTACCTAATTGATGTTTTCGCATCTGAACTCTCTAAACAATTATTCAATTTGTACGTAACCAGCATTGGAATGCTTTACCCGAGCATATTGCATTGCATTTAAACATTCAGTGCCTGGCCCGAAACTGTTCGGCGACACATTACCGCAATCAATGCACACGGTACGCACCGGTAAGTAGACACCATCACAACACAATAAACTGACCTGCGGGCAACTGGCAAAAAGGAAAGTAATTGATTTCTGCAGTGCGTTTCCTTATGAGACTGAAACAACACGGGGTCGACTCAGTATTCATGGTAGCACGGTGCATACACGTACAGTACATTTTGTACAACAAGCATTCTGTGATCCTGTACACGAATATATACACATGTACATGTACATAACGTTACAAGTGCATAACAAAATCAGTGTTACGTGTAACAGGAAATCACCACTGATATGACTTGAAGAATTCTTCACTTCACAAAGAATTCTTCCGATTATGCCCACTATTTAAAAAACCACATTTCCCCCAAGCCTATGATCTTATCCATTCAATCAACATGTCAGTGCGAAACCTTTCCAATCTACCAGTACCTATTCGATATTACCTTCCTGGTTCTTGCTCAAAATCCAGTATTATCCAATAAAGTAGGATTTACATTAAATTTAATTGCGTCCAATTCAATTGAGTCCACGCGTAGTACGGGCGCTTTTCCATTTGACGCACAAATGTATTGGTAACAGTACAGTAAGTACATGTACATCATGAAATTACAAAGTACGGGTGTTACATTACATACATGTACATGTACCTTGGTGATCCTTACAACCCTAACCATGCTGAACCCAACAAGGTTATGCAGGATTTCAATGGTCCCTACGGGGTTTGGGTAACCCTAACCATGCTGAACCCAACAAGGTTATGCAGGATTTCAGTGGTCCCTAGGGGGTTAGGGTTGACCCTAACCACGCTGAACCCAACAAGGTTATGAAGGATATCAATGGTCCCTAGGGTTAATTAATCCAGCTCTTACCCCTGTGCATTAATTACATGTACATTGTACTAGCATAAACAGCACGTACATGAACAAGTACTGCCATTACTATGGTGTTCCAAAGTTTTGTACACAATAGATGGAAAATTGTGAACTTTTAAAATAACAAAAATAGCTAATACGTGTTGCTGTTACAAATTCACTGTACATACATTTACATGTTTTGTACATGTAGCCCACATTAAACATTTTTGACTGAACAACACAGATCCCACTGATACTCATATATGCCTAGGCCTACCATATCTTTCTTTTAAATGTTGAATATTTCTTGGTAGGTCCCTAATTAGAAATGCATTCTTAATATGTACACTGCTTAACACCCTGTGAGAAAATCCTATGAGAACAGTTGGAAAAATGAAGTGCATGTAGGCTATGTGTTTCTATAAAGTAAATACCACAATATTTTCACTGCTAAATTAGACCTTTTAAGGCATTTTATGAGCCTACTTTCAAAATGGCTTGGACTTGGTGACGTCCACATGTAGGTATGGAACTCTTCCTGCATTCTTTCCCCACTGCCCACCGGCATGACTGGTTACTGGAAAATGGGTCATGCTATTTAGTGTCAACAAGTTATGTACAATGTAAGCATATTTATGCAAAGATATTTCTATAAAATTTTAATTACAACCCTACATATCAAGTTTAATGTATTATATGTATCTGAAATGATATTTGAGTGTTGAAATTTGGATGACAAAGTCGGGCCTGTTTGTGCAGTCTGACCTGCCGCCATCTTGTTTTCGCATGGACGGCAGAGGAAAGAATGATGGCGGCCTCCATATATCGTGAAAAATTTTCGTTTCCCTGCGAGAATCTGGAAGCAAATTTGGTGTTTCTCTAAGTTGTACAGTGGCAAGTGTTAGTGTCTCTAAAATAAAATAAAACTACTTTTAAATATATAGGCCTAGAGGGTATATTCAAGTTGTTGACGCTTTGTTGACGCTACGTGCAGACATGTGTGTGTTGACGCTTGTTGACGCTAAACAGCATGACCATGAAAACATGCTGAAAATATCACATTCATGACATGACTGAGCACTGGTTTTGACAATTTGCAATTTAAAAAAACTCATATAATACCTAGGCCTAGTAAACTACCACTACTAGGCCCCAGACATACCAGATATAATCAGTCTTAGTCTTACTCAGAACATGGAGGTGCTCAAAATCAGTATTCATCCAGCCTACAATGTAAGTAAACTAGGCCCTGAAGGCCTACTGAAATCAAACATGCCACCGGCGTGACCAGCGCTAGTCGTGAAGGCGTCACTCGCGCTCGCCAGGCGCTAGGCGCCAGGCAAAAAGGCCAACATTGGGGTCAAACTTTCACAATATCCGTTAATGAACAGACTATTCTCACGTTAATTAATTGTTTGTTAAAATCTGAAATAAAACAGAGTGTTCTCTTTGTACCAACCTTTTCAACAGTTTCTACTGACTAGTGATTCACCTCACTGTTTCTCGTAAAATCCGGCAGTTAATTGACTAGTTACATGAGTTACATCCAGCCCAATTATGCTGCTACGTTGAATCTTGTACTTACTGGGCGGGGCTATCGAAATCGATTTGTATGTATAAAACGTGCATTCATTGGCTAGCATTAAAACATGGCTTCATGACATGTTTCTTTTGCTGTTACCTATTGCTTTCTTAAATACCCAATTTTAGAGTGCAAGATCTGTTTTCAAGACAAAAAATTGGAAATAATTTAAGGAAATAAGGTAACTATCCTAGTAAATTTTATGAAGTTAGAAATTTACCCACTTTCAGTTAAACCAATTAAAATACGACTTACTCGCAACTCGAATCAGTTTATCAAATGTGCTAAAAGCAGAGAGGGCGCACTGTAATTTTACCGTATGCGCAACACGAAAGAGGGGGCGGGGACAGCAATTTCCGAAGGGTGTCCGTCTGTCGTTGATACCCTAAAAATGAAGGGTATTGCAGGGGAGCAGTTATTTGGTACTTTCCCCATGTTTTAGTTTGGTCATTGCTGCCATTATGCACAAGCACAAACCATGGAGGTATTCCATGCACAGACGTACATGTATGTGCACACAAAACATCCTTTATATGAAAACGCCCCCTCTCGAGACAGTAACGGCGCTGGCACAAGCAGACTGATTTGCTAGTCTAAATTAATGATTGCATAACATTATGCGGAAGTAGAAGAAAAGAAAAGAAAATGGCTACTCCGCAAAACAGTTTGTACGATGCCCTCGCAGAGGACGCGAAAAAAATCCGCGAACTCGGCAAATCTTGGGGTTTAGACGACGCAGACATAGATGGTTGTTTCCAGCGCGCCTTGGTAGTTGATAAAGCTCCAATCAGGCCCCGTAGAAGCCGAGTTTGCAGGTGTCTTGTCCTGTCGTTCGTCGGCATTTTCGTTCTTCTGATCGTGCTGTACGGGTTGGTGAATTTTCACAAACCCTCTAAGCACTTCGCAATGCGCCATGCGCAGGACGTTTTATACCCGTTTATGAGAGCAGTTAGACGTGCAGCCCTACCATTGAGGCAAGTTTTCGATTTATCTGGTAAGTTCCAACTAGTGCTAGGCTTGTTAACATGGTTAATGTTATTCAGATTTTCACAAAACATGCAAAATGAAAACACATTTCTGTGTAATATATGAAAACGTAATGTCTGATGAACTAACAGTTGCCGGGACACTCAAGGAGGCGTGGTGTGTACAGTTGTGTAGGATGTCACTTCCTAAGTTAAGCAATTTTCCTGACATCATGAGAGCTGGAGATGAAATAAAATCAAAAGCTCTGAAGCCACTTCTTACATTGTAATTTAATGAGATGAAACTGGACATTTTTCAGGTCTCCATGAGCTGGACTGTTTGGTGCCCAACCCTCTCTTCGGCAAGTTTGATGAATTTGACTGCTGGCCGTGCGAGGAGATAAGAGAAGTCCGCACCTTCCGAAACCTGAGCAATTTCACAATGTACTACTATCACTCTGGTATTCCCTTTGTCGTCAAGGTAATTTTTGCAATTTTTTTTTTTCTTTTGGCAAATTTGTTTTTATGAAACAAGGAAAGCAATGGGTACTTCAAGGCATTCCTGACTTTTAGGACCCTGCTGAATCCTGCTTGTACGTCAGCTGTCAGAATTCATGAGAATTGAACATTTTTTTAGCAAGGTCCTCCCCACAATGACTCCTAAATCCTACAGTTGTGTAGATAGAATGTAGAAGACAGACTTCCCGAAGCTGCAGCGGTAATTTGGGATCGATAAACTGTCATACACACCTTGTAAAGAAGTGAAACAGATATGTAGAAGTGGCCTACAAGTCAGGATTGCCCAGTAGTCCCAAATGATGGGCAATCATCGCAGTGACAGTGACTGGGTAAACAAACTCCCTTCTCCATCCCCTTCCCCCTTCCAGGATGCCAACATGAGCCAGGTCACGTTCGACGACGTCAAGTCCGTCTACCTGGACAATGCAGAGCAGTTCAGCCACAGCGCATCTCTGGTGCAGAGCAACAATGCCTTCATCCGCAGCATCAGCGACCTCCTGACCCCCAGCAGGACCTTGGAGGACTTGTTGGGCACTGATTTCCACCTGCAGTGGTGGGTGAATCCTTCCAGCGGGACGGGAAGGGATAAGAACGTTGAGGGAAACATGTAGAGGACAAAAAACTGACCGAACTTTGTCAAAATCGGGAAGCAGGGTTCAGAACAGGTTTTATAACACAGCATCCTAAATTAGCTTTGACAAGAAAACAAATCTGGGGCTAGAAGTTGTTCGCTCTCCATCATCTTTAGGCCAAAAACTAACTAGTTGTGTTTCCTGTTACACTGAAAAATAAATGAGGGTGGTTGGTTGGGTAAAAGTTTTTGTTCAATTCTCAATTTTTATAACCCAAAAAAATAGGGTTGGATGATGGTCTGTATTGGGGGGGGTGTGTGTATTTGTAACAGGTGCTAAGTCAGTGTCAGATTAATACTCCACATAAGCACGTCAGTATTACATATCAGCACTGTGATTGAGTAGTAAAGCAGCTGGCTGTTGAAATACAGACACACAAGAGCCGTCCATCTCATGCAAAAAAAATTAAAACAGTTCAATGAACAGGACGACGTACACATAATTAGGCTCAGGGCAAGGCACCGTAAGTTTTTATATTTTAATGATTTGTCGAATAAAAAGATACGGATTCCACATGATTTTCTGAGTTAGATCAGGTAACGGGAAACACAGCTATTTTTTCGTTTGGCGTAAGTAAATTACTATAAAACGGTTCAGGAATTATCCAAGTTTTCAAGACAGGATTTCTGACCTCACTGATGCATGTACATTAATGATGCAAGTGTCCTAGATAATACCAAGCTCAGTTTCACTCGGGCTCAAGCCACTTTTTGTATGAAGGAGATTCTAAAGTCGACTCCGATTTTTTTTTTGAGATCTTCATTTGTGATTTTGCATACATTTACACATATATTTATGATCCTGTTTTGCATGTGTATAAATCAAGGCGGGTCCTGAAGGCTGGTGGGGTGAGGTTAATCCGAAGCATGTCTCCCAAGCCGTACTTCGTCCCCGAGAAGGCTGAGGTGGCATCCGAGATGTTTGTGATGATACACACCCCCGCTGCAGAGGCACACCCACTGGTGAGTGGCGACAAAAGAGCAACTCATTGACTAATTCAAAATCTTGAATTGAGTAACCCTATTTTTCAAGAACTCTTCCAAGGAACCTTCTTCGGTGCTCTGCAATTCTCCACAGTGCAGGAATTTTTTCTTGGTGTATGGTGAGCGCTCAGAGTCATCAAATGACAGTGGCAGGGCTGTAGGCACCCCCACAGAGCGCCCTCAACCGTCGTGCACAGTCGATATGGCAAGCTTGATTCAGCATCTCAGTTGTGCACTTACAGCGCAGACAATGAAGTCCACAGAAGTCCACATCTGTGGTGTTGCAAAGCCTGTTTGTGGACCACTTGCCACAAACCGCACAAACAGAGCCATACAGTGCATCTAATTGTCCAAGCTGACTTTGTCCTTTACAGCCGTTGCCGGAACATCCCAATGCCTGGTTGACCCAGGCCTGTGGGTCGCAAGAGGTTGCGTTGACCCCGGTGTCAGCCTGCAAGGAGAACTGTACCGAAGTCCGCATTGTCCTCCAACAGTCAGATGTGTGTAAGTTCGAATATTTGATCGCAGGCATCCAGGGGCTTTTATCCAAGGATTTGACTGCAGACCAAACTGTGCGTTATCCGCTATGAAAAAACACAAGATAAATGCCCACTTCAAAACTGGCCTCTGATATCATAATTGTTTTAACACATCCTGCTGTAAAGATAGTCTGTACATTTTTAAAACATTGCCAACAATTAAGATGACACTTGACCAATCAGATTACAGTGTCAAGGATGCAGCATCATAGGTCACTGCACATGCACAGTATAGAATTTCCAATAGAAAAAAGGGGGAGGTGTCTCTACAACCCCACCCCCAGCCAAGTTGGATATGCCCCACCCCCAAAGCCCCGTCCTTCCAGCACAGTTAGATGTATCCCCACCTGTCAATTTTCAGTACAACAAAGACACAGTACTTTCTTTCGTCTTGGCTTTCCTTTTTCCCTTTGCAGTGTTCTACACACCGCGGTTCTGGCAGCTGAACGCTTTTTCTTTCGGCAATGAAGTCAGCATCGCATTTCAGGGTTCTTTCTTTTGAGAAGAGATCTACATCTTGTTCTATCTCTTGGACAGACTCAGAGCTGTGTCTAGAGAGAACTGCTTCAACTTGAGACTTTGAAACCCTCATGGTTGTTCATTATGGCGTGCAGCACAGCATGAAGCTGTTGTGTGGGAACCGCCCATGTACACTGACGCATAATCCACCATGTTGGTGCCAACAATGGAGACACTCATGTCGCAACTCTCTCTATAAACAGTCCTAGTTAGACCTACATGTACTAAAAATGAACACAGAAAAGCATCGTTAAATTAGATTTTAACTGGTTTCCAGTATTCATACTCATGCGCACTGTGAGACAAAGAACACCATACACCCATTGTTTCCAAACTGATTGGAAAATGGAACAACCTCATTAAACTCAGCTTTCGATGCTAAAACTTTCATTCTCATTGTTTTAATAAGTTCTTCTTTGCTGATCACAGTGTCCCCCAAATAATTATTTCTTTGTTTCGAGGTATAAAAAGTTTCACTGCTTCGAATGCTGGTATATTAATACTGATGAATATTTGCTTGGAAACTCTGGCATAAATCACACTCAGCTACTGCAGGGCAGGACTTCACTGGGGCATCAGCGGCAAGCTTTGATGCCTCTGCTCTTTTCCTGGATGACCAATGAAATTCTCCGGTAGACAAGTTGATTTTTCTTTTATAGAGATTTTTTTTGCCGAAGAGAAATCGCCTCGTCCCTCCAAGAACACAGCCCCTTCATGGCACAAGTACATGTGCCACAGGTTGCTTTCCCAGCACTATTTTTCCACATCTGGATCCATTACATAAAAAAACATTTCCTTTTGGTCACTTTCACTTCTGGTCTCACTGCTAATCTTCAACACTCTTTATCCAAACACGTGGACCATATTAAGAGGAATTAGTACTGTCCATACAAATATTTTCACTTCCACTAGCATGACATAATTTCACTTTCGCTGTGCACTAAGGGACACGTGCAGTATAACTGTCCATATCATGACACCCATGCAAATACATGTACTGTGGAGGTTTGTGCGCATTCTGATGAAAATTAGTCAGGTTTACTTCAAGGTTTACTTCAAGACTTACACTTATGCATGCGAATTAGTGTGGCCATGCATCTAGCCCTCTGCTGGTGACTCTTACAGCAGTTTCACTGCACCACCTCCAGTTCAAGGATTCTTTAGATTTTCAACTGGCAAAACATAAATGAAAAACACTATGTAGTGGCTTGTGTCGAGTGTGAAGGTGTGTACTCCTGTAGTTAGTTATGTTTGGTGTCTGAAATAAAAGCCGTGTTAATGCTGTTGCAATGATATGGGTGTGTCATTGTTATTTTGGTCAGGTTGGAGGTGGGTGGATTGGGTTGGTCCTGCACATGGATCCTAGGCCTTGTGGGGAAGAGAACACAAAAGGAACAAATAGACCCCACGGGGAATAATCCTACACCACAAGGATTCCATGAAATAGGAATGAGGAATTTGCTCAAAAAGGGAGAAATTTCCAAGAGTTACCTACATTGTATTTAGAACACATTGTGGTAAATATACAAGGGATATCTGGTCCAAACTTCAACCCAGGGAAGCAATTCCAGATGAAGTGGAAAGAAATTTGAAAGCTTCACAGACGAACTTTTTAATACATGAAATTGAAGAAAATACCCCTACGAGGATGATTGTGCAAGGCTATCCGAGTTGGGTGTCCAGGAGGTTTTGAGCAGAAATTTCACTGCAACTTCTGAGTACTAAAATGTACCATGGGCAAGTAAAATTAGTTCTAACCCTTGGAAGTTGACGGATACAGGTGAGCTGGGCGCACAATGACAGAAACAAGGATATGCCTCTCTGGGCTCCAATGCTGTGAAAGATTTGGCAAGATTGCTAGATTCAAAACAGGAAGAAAAACGCCTCTGACATAATTAGTGCGAGGACTTGGTATTTCTGAATTCACGTCCACAGAATTATGAGAACAATTGATGTTAAATATGGGACTGGTGGTACTAACTGGCATACCAAAAACTAATATTAGACATGATCGAATTAAAGTTGATTATGATATCTTTATTGAAATCCATTCAAGGATAAATATGGCTAATTCAGCATTCATGGTCAAATCTATAAGCTAACAATTAACAGCTCAATTTGTAAATCAAATAACACTCTCTCAATTCCCCCAAAATACAATTAACTCACAATTTACTGACCGCAATGGTTTATTTTACCAGTTACCATAAGTTATATGCATCGTTTGTCCTCTACGTAGATTTTTCTTGATTTTTTCTACAAAAATTTGGTGAAAAAGACAACAATTAGACGGCACATCAGTCTAGCACTAATACTGTGATACAGCTGAAGTTTTTTGGTCAATAGGGGAAGAAAAAAGTGTGCGCATGCATGCATTTATTAATTTAAAGAAATACAGGTGAAGAGTAAGTCATGCCCTACATTAGCGGAGACAACCGCTTAACAATCTCATAGAATCTTAACAGATTATATGTGTGTACTGATTTAGTCAATCATCTCATTTTGACGCAACTTCAGGGATTTTTGTTTTTCTTTCTCTGACTGGTGAATACTTTTGACATTTTTATACATTAAGTTTGGGTGCAAAGTCCCCAAAATGAGTATGACGGCTAGCGGTGCTAAATAGGATCAAAACATTTCCCCGAATATGCTCCACTGAAAAGATTAAACCAGCGCGTGATCAGCACGTATGCTCTGCTTACATGGCCCTGGTGGATCCTAGGTCCCACACAGCCCTCTCTATGATCCCTGTGCAGGGCAGATAGCATCCTCTCACCGGGAGGTATCTCACAGGGGGCAGGGTTTTTTCGCTCCCTGATTTTAATCTGGCTACAACTGATTAACCATTGTTTTTATCTAAGCAGAGGCTGATTCAAAACGTACGCAGCGTTTGCTCTGAAAATCGCAATGAGAAAGACAAAATGTAAAATGCACCAGGCCCATCGTGTACCCTCTCCCCGATGTCAATTACGCAAAGATTCAACAATACACCTTCCTCGTGGAATTCTGCAAGATTCCGAGCAAAAAAAATCCAAACCTACGTGCAAAACAACTGCACCTCTTAACAGGAAGCTGTGGGATCGAATGTCCCATCTCACGTTTTCTTTATAAAATCCAACAGGCTCTTTGGACAGAAATGTACACTACGATGTCGCAGGGGGAATTAATGGTGACGGTTCATTACTCGGCAAAGTCAGACTACAAATGGCCTCTACTAAATTCAAATTAAGTCCACACCACCAACAGTCATCAGGGAGTTGTACAAACACGCAATGAAACAGTCCTGTGCCCCCCCCCAAAAAAAATTCTCCTAAAACCCAGATGAAATTCAAACCGAAAGGTTTTGCTCCACCATTTGTTCTTCCGCCTCCTCCTAAGGGCACAAATGGACCCCTCCCCCGTCTCCCTCCTCCCTAGCCCGTAGGGTCCAAACTACAGTGTATATCTACGTCATCCCCTTCTAAATTTAGGAAAAATAAAGGGTACGAGTTACGCCACACGCACTCAATAAGGAACTTCAAAATTCCTTTTTGAAATGAATTTTTTTTTTTTTTTAAGTTACAACATGACTTTGAGACAGACTTGTACAAAATGAGTGTAAAATATGAATTTTTCCCGGAGCAAGAAAGATGAAAGATATGGCACTAGTAAAACTGGGAGAACTAAGTGTTATGCAACAATTCCCCCGATCCATACAATGCACATCATCCATCTTTTTCTTTGCTTCTCCTTTTCGTTTGAGCACAAAATTTGGGACATCTGAAAGGACAAGCGTGTTCCGTAAGACAAAAAAAGAACTTCTTTCCGGTGCAGAGAAATTCTTTGTGGGAAATTAATTTTAGGACAGAGGTGAAGGTCTCCTGTTCGTTCCTTCGTGTAGCACTCTGGGTTGGAGGGTGTAGCTGTGATAAGTGCCTCGGCGCAACGATGTAAAAAGGGTCCACAGATGATGCTCCTTTTCCAGTTAGCACAAAACATCCTAGGACGTTAGCTCATACATAATAAATGATTGGTACTGCACATACAAATTGTAAACCCTTTTTTCCTCAAAACATTCCGAAACCTTTTTTTTTCACATCTTTAATTAGCATGTCCTACTCTTCATTAATTAAAGATTTCCGATACTGGAAGGAAATGGAAACAAATTGCACATAGGTGTATCTGTCACTGATGCAAATATTTTTTGGGATATTTAAACAAACAAAAGGCTTTCAGAACCTTACAGTTTCAAGAATGCATAGAACACCGCTCTCCAACTCATTCTGTACAAGTGGGTAAAACTGACTCAAAAAAAAATTTTATAAGACAGTGCTACTTCAAAAGTTCCTTGATCTCGTCTTTCTCTGCCAACTCGAAGTAAGTCTCACCGTTGAACTTTCCTTCCTTCTTAGCACCCTAGGGGGAGAAGAACAAAAGACATCTCACACACACACAAAAAAACAATTAGACACAGCGATCACAGAGGATCTTCTCTCTGACTTGGAAGACAGAGAAATTCTAAAAGCCGCAAGTATCAAAATTTGGGGGAGGGGTGGCAGGGTGGGGGGGGGGGAGACTGGACAAAACCAAGGGGTATTTGGTGATTCTATCCCAGGCCGCTCACTAAGGGAGAGGAGCGCAGAGGGGCAAATTCCCCCAGCAAGCAGCTGG